AAAAAAAAAAAAAAAAAAAAAAAAAAAAAAAAAAAAAAAAAAAGATGGCTAAGGCTTACTGATATGCACCAAGGCCACAACATTACCTTTGTGGAATTTCGGCCAAAAATGCATAATCTTTATCTAATAATGTGGGGAATTGGAAGAACCCAAATTGAGGCCAAATTTAACAAAATAGTTGGCCTGTGCAATACTATTCCAAAAAACCAAAGTCATAAAAGACAAAGAAAAATTAAGGAATGGTTCCAGATTAAGAGACTAGAGACATAAAAACTAAATATATTATGTGTAATCCTAGACTGGGGGGAAAATACCCATAAAGAATATTATATGGTCAACTGAGTAAATCTGAATACACATTGGATTAAACAATATTGTACCAATTTAAATTTCTTGATTTTGATAAGGATACTCTGGTTATGTAAGAGAATATCCTTGTTCTTAATGAATCAACGTTTAAGTATTTATGGGTAAAGGGATCCATATGTCTGCAAATTACACTCAAATGGTTTAGAAGAAAATGTGTATAAAAAAAGAAAGAATGTATAAACAGCAAATGATCAAAAATGATGGATCTGGATAAAGAGGATATCACAGTACTTTGTACTATTCCTGCACTTGAAATCCTAACTCAAACATTCAGAGTTCTTAATGACAGGATTCGTTTACTTTGTGTGTGTGTGTGTGTGTTTTTTTTTTTTTTTTAAAGATGACCGGTAAGGGGATCTTAACCCTTGACTTGGTGTTGTCAGCACCACGCTCACCCAGTGAGCAAACCGGCCATCCCTATATGGGATCTGAACCCGTGGCCTTGTTGTTATCAGCACCGCACTCTCCCGAGTGAGCCACGGGCCGGCCCCCATTGTGTATTTTTAATTGACAAAAGTATATATTTATGGAGAACAACATGTTTTGATGTACGTATACATTGTGACATCTACTTTTTATTTATTTATTTGTTTGTTTGTTTTGTCCTTTTTGAGACCAGCCGCACCGCGGTCAGCCAGTGAGTGCTGTGAGTGCACCGGTCATCCCCATATATAGGATCCCAATCGGCGGCGGGAGCGCTGCTGCGCTCCCAGCGCCGCACTCTCCCGAGTCCGCCACGGGCTCGGCCCGTGACATTTACTTTTTAAAAAGCCTATTAAAGTGGAGTGATCATGCATCTTGGTTGGCCTGGGACAGTTACAGTTCATGCCGGTTGTCTGAGTAAAACTATTAACTATGCCCCCTTTTCAATCTCAAAAATATCACAGTTGGACAATCAATCATATGGTCGGCCTACACAGAAGTGATGCTCTCGTGACAAAGAACCAATACTTAGTTCTTAGGCTCAGTACTAAGCCTGGAAGGATAAAATTCCAATAGTGTAATTTAGACACCTATCACAGATATTTTGACATTGGGACTTCTTTGAATTCCTAGAACTATGTTACTAACCCAGTTGCCAAATACACCTATGCACACAGGAATATTTTTGCTGCTAACTGACCTGAATCTAAATCATAATATTTTTCTCTATAAATATTTACCTGAGGATCTTGATTCAGATAGAAGCATCAACGATCCCATCAACAAAAATTAGGTAGGATAAGTAATTTTATGAAATCTTCAGGAAATACTTCAATCATTTGAAAAGTAACTTACTTTACAGCATTTGGATCCAAACTGGCATATAAATAATATAAGCATTTCATTCTCTCTTCTGTTTCCAGGTTGTGGGGGACAAGATACTGAGCAAAGATTTTCTCTACCAACAGTCTATGAAACAACAATAAAAAGAAACCCAAATAACACAATAATTCTATTTTTAAGAAGCAATAGCCATTTTATATTTTAACAATCTTGTGTAAAGATAGCATGCTAATGGTGATAGTTATGTGTATATGTACAATGAAAAACATCAGTATATAATCAGTTTTTTTCTTTGGAAGACTTTTAGTACTTTTAGTAGAGACACGGTTTCTATTTATAGCTTTACATTATACTTATCGGTAAAAAACATTTGTTCTCGAAGGATTAAATGTTATTCCTAAACACAGAGTATTAGGCTATTACACCTGTTCTCCAGCAGTCTACAGCTACAGCAAATTAGTTAATGCTAGATATAAAGCTATGACACCTAATATAACTAATTCTGAAGAAACTTATTAATTTCCTCTGATTACAGTTCAGCTCCTTTCCTTTGTTGTCCTGAAGGAATAAAAGAGGGGATTCTCCTTCATATTACTTCCTGCAAGTTTAGCTTTTCCTGTGTACATTTGATCTTTCTTCTCTCCAGTCTAAGTTCCTTACCAATATTAGATATCTTCTTGCTAAACTTTTATTATTCAATATCACTGGAATAAGAAAACACAAGCGCTGTTCACTAACCAATGAAATACATATCCAGTGATGCCCAAGTAGCCAGTCTAATTCAATTAAATGCTGCAAAGTATTTTGCAAAAACCAAGTATGATTAGTATAATCCAATATACAATTACAAGTAACATTCAGCAAATGAAAACAATTTAGTAATCCCTCTACTGGTAGTAATAGTGTTGCAAAAAGGAAAACTAATAACTAGTAGCTACCGAATAGTCCTGCACTGGGCTAGGGTGCTTTATATTCATTATTTTATTCAGTCCATGTGACAATCCTGTAGGGAAGGCATCATTATTCCTCCTTTTCATATAAAACTGAGGTGCACAGAAGTTAAGTCACTTGTGCACAAATCTAAAAATGGGCGAAGTGAACATTTGGTCTCTGGTCTGACTCTAAAATCCATGCCTATGTAACTATTATTATGCTACTTTATAATCCTGAATAGTCTTTTTTTAATATAACTTTTAAATATTTATTTTTAGAGTCTTATTTAAACACAGTAAGTACAAATATGCAGAAAATGATTTCTAAACTTTGAAATAAATTTAAAAATTAAATAAAAATAAATTTTTAAAAAATTAAATGAAGTTTTACCTTCAACTGTTCTCCCAACATATTACTCACTTGTCATCAATGCTGTTTTGATAATAAATATGCAAAAGTTTGTCTTTTATCCAGCTGACTTTCTCTGCAGCTTCCTTTCCTGCTTCACCATGAAGACAGTATTTCTTATAAAGCTGAGCCAGACCCATCATAGCTTCTTTTCTTACTCGCCACTAGAAAGTACAATGTTTATTAGATGAGTAAGATACCAAAATTTTATACTGATCTGCAAAAATTGCTATGGCTTCACTAGGTTGTATAATCGGTCTTATGTGTGTATGTATAAACTGGCACAATATTTCTTTTCATAGGAGGACTTACCAAATTGCATTACCAACAACTCTGAATCTGTTCCTGTATCAAAACCAGACTCTTTAGAAATTTTCTAATTCAAATATTGTTAAATGATCCACCAATTTTTAAATTTTTTATTTCCCTCCAGCAATAATAAGTCTTATAGATTTCATCTAATTTTCTCTAAGAAAAATATTGGTCAAGTTTTAGAAGTGATTAAAACGTAAAAGACAAAGTGTACATTTCACTCTGCAAACAAAAGCCCTATCATCTGGAAGGTTTTAGTGCCTAGTTACTTCCCTTTTGATGTTAACACAATGAGAATAACAAAGTTTAGTATCAAGAATTCTGGAATTACAAAGTTGGAAAGGACTTTGTTGATCATCTTAAGTGAACTTCCTTACTTTACAGTAAGGAAGGTTTAAAGGTTTAAAGGGCAAATGATTTACTTATTCACATCCTAGTTAGTGGAAGACTCTTTGGGACTTAGAGAGATTGGGAAGATTTACTAGGGAAGGGAAGAAAGGTGGTGGGGAAGAGGGTAGACAGAAAAAGAGACCATAAAAACCTAGAGTGAGGACTATCATAAGATGTAAGAAAAATAATAACCAAAACAGACACTTATCTTAAAAAGGGGGGAGCATGCTATCTTTGGTTTATTTAAGTCAATACTTCCTTATAATTTTTTGTCACAATTTTCTCATTATTAGGCTACTTAGTGGATGAAATGAAACTTCATTCCTATACAACACATTAACAAATGCCTTCTGACAATTCTTACATGAAATTTTAAAAAATGTGAGCAAGGCTGGCTTGTTAGTTCAGTTGGTTAGATCTCAATGTTATAACACCAAGGTCAAGGGTTCAGATCCCTGTACAGGCTAGCTACCAAAATAAATAAATAAATAACAAGTGAGAGTAGTGAAATCTAAGATTAATTCCTGTCCCCACATTTTATAGAGATGAAAACCAATTTCAGAAAAGGATACAACCAAGGTGATCTAACTTACTAGGCTAAAATCCAGGTCTGAAAATGTCTAGTATGTGCTATTATTATGACCACACCATGCAGTTTCAGTTAGAAAGGTTCATTTAGGGGCCGGCCCGGTGGCGCACTGGATAGTGCGCCGCTTGGGAAGCGCGGCGGCGCTCCCGTCCGAGGGTTCGGATCCCACGTACAGACCGGCTCCCGCTCACTGGCTGAGCGAGGCGCGGGAGCAACGCCGAGGCTTGCGATCCCGTCGCCGGTCCCCGGTCCGGTACGGGGGCAACACTGAGGGTTGCAATCCGTTGCTGGACACGGAAAAAAGACAAAAGAAAAAAAAAAAAAAAGAAAGGTTCATTTATTTAAGTCTTTCTGAAACTATGAAATCAGACATTAATTGGAGTGAAATTTCTCTAAAAAGGAAGAGAGGGGGTGATGCCACTGGCCACTAGGTGGAGAGTCTTTTCATTTAAATTAAAGTAAAGAGGGCAAAAAAATTTAAGTTAGAATTACCAAAACAGTTGAACAGGTTATCCACTTCCTTTTTAAAAAAATATCTGTCTCCTATGACTATTTTAAAAGCTAAAAGTCAAAGAATATCTCCTGCTATATTTCAAAACCCAAACCAATTACTGTTCTATCCTGAAATTATGGCTAACTTACACATTTCCAGAGGACAGCAGGTTTTCAACTATGTTTCAAATAAAAATACCATACGGCAAGGCAAGGCAACCACTGTTAAAGACGTTAGTAAATAGATACCTAATATGCCTGCCTTGCACATCTGTCTCTTGCTAATGGTTGACACTATTCTTTAGCAACTTCTATTGCTATTCTTACCACTACTTTTCCTTATCAATCCATGTTGCTAACTGCATCAAATGGAGGAAACAGCAGAAAAAGGTAACTAAACAAATAACCGTCATTTCTGCCCTTAGCTTGGCACAGAAATATGGAAATGTCACTTTCTTAAGTATGATAGCCTTTTAGTTCAATGAATGACAGACCCAGCTGTTACGTTAAGACAGTCACATTTGAAAATGTTAACTCTAAGAAATACATATAGATGATCAATTATTATTCTTTTGAAACTCATATAAGTGAAAAGAATTAAAACTTTAACTTAGTAGTTCCTTTTATAAAGGTATGCTAGAAGAGAAACCCATGCCTAACATCTGAAAAGCTATAGAATCCAGTGGACTCACTCATAAAGATAATAGATATACAGAAAACATACAAATTATCAGTGCTTACATAGCATTGTTATTCATTTGATTATCACACAGTAAAGCTTTAAGTGTAATAGAAAATAATACCAATTGGATTTAGCAAACAATTTAAACACAGTAAACTACCAGAAAATAAAATTCCTCAGACTTTACCCGTTTATCCAGTGTTCTTTCCCTTACAAAGCCAAGCAGCTGATCATTTACTAAGGCAAGGTCTCTTTTGGCAGCTGTTATTATAGTAACAATGACATCATGACGTATAGCTTCTTCTGGATCATGTGATCTAACCTTCAAATATTCTACAATGAGAAAAAAACTTAAGCTAAATGTTAGCTATGTAATTTGTCATGATTCAGAATGACAGAAAAGACTACAATAGCCTTCCACCTTTACCTACAGTTTCATTTTCTGCAGTTTCGTTACCCACAGATAACCATGGTCTGGAAATACTAAATGGAAAAATCCCAGAAATAAACAATTTATAAGTTTTAAATTGTATCCTGTTCTGAGTACCATGATAAAATCTCGTGCCATCCTGTGCCATCCAGAACATGAATCATTCCTTTCTCTAGCACATCCAAATTGTAAACAATATCTGCCACTTAGCAGCTCTCTTGATTGTCAAATCTACTTTGGCGGTATTGCAGCTCCTGTGTTCAAGCAACCCTTATTTTAGTTAATAATGGCCCCAAAGCACAAGAGTACTGTGCCTAATTTATAAATTAAACTTTATCATCGATATCTATGTGTATATACAAAAAAACCCCCAGTGCATATAGGGTTCAGTACTATCCCTGGTATCAGGCATCCACTGGAGGGAGGTCCTGGAACTTATCACCTAGGAGAACTACTATAATGCTTTAAGCTTCTGTCCATACTGAAACGACATTTGTGGAGTGCAGCATGAATTAAAATAATTTCATTTTTAAGGGAGCGGTACTCTATGTAATCACAAAACTGCACTTATTACTACATAGTCACATCTTAATATATTTTACATCAACTATCTTGGAAAAATCAAATCACAATGCAGTATCTGATTTATGTAGTTTGGAATTTCAGTTACAAACTAAAAGACTAAAAGAAAAATAGTAAAAATGCTTATAGCAAGTTAACTGATATATTATATATATATATATATATATACACACACATATAATCCAGAATAATATTCTATAGCCTCTAAAAAAATTCACTAATAATTTACAATACGAACTAAACCAATACAAAAAATGTTATTTTCTCTGTGTTTTTTGGTAAACAGCAGCATTTTAATAGAAGCCACTTATTTGCTACTACCAAGCAGGTAGCTTTAGATGCTCTGGGTTCAAGTGGAGAATGAGAAATCCTAGTCTAGTACAGAAGATAATACGTCCCCACTTATTATAAGATATGTTACTACATTTAATTGAATGGATATAACGATTTTTGTCCAAATCCAATGTCATAAGGAATATGATAAACTATAATTTACAAAAAAATTCTACAGAATTAAAATATGAAGATTTCAAATGCAATTTTATTATACAAACATGAAATCATTTCCTAGTCCATGACAAATACAGATGTGAAACTGTACACAGTTAAAACCTATTCAGAAACTGAAGTTAGGGAACATCTAAAATATATTTGTGTGACAACTCAAATATTTGTAATCAACCAGACAGCTTACCTGTGAGATCCTTTGCTAAGTCTGGGTGATTCATTAAACAGTGACTGGCAAATTTCACACTTTCTAATCTCACAGGAACATGAATGTCATTAAATCTGCATAGAATAAAATAGCTAAATATTAATTCTAAGGCAAAACAATTAGTTTCAAATAAGGTATATTCATATCTATTATTTGGTTGTTATTATAATAAGAGCTAATGTGTTCTGCAGGAAGACTATAAAGTACAGTTAAAAACAAAAAGATACATACTTTTACAAAAACATTTTTGAAAACAGAATGTTTTTACCCTGCTACAACAAAAAAACAGTATAAACACATCCATCACAACTACCCACTTTGTAGAGCTAAAAATTTGAGAGTTTAAAATGATGCCACAAAGTAAAAATTAAATGTTAAAAACACACAATATCTGCTTGAAAAAGTTTACATGAGGAAAACATTGGGGGATTTGTGGTAGAAAGCAAACCACATGTAAGAGGCAGAGCCAGAAGTTCCAAGATGAATGTATCTAATTACACTGCCTTACCGCAAAAAGTGCATCTGTCCAGGACCAACTTGTATTAAAATGCTCTTTTAAAGGCCCCCTATGTTGTAAGAATTCAATTAATATGAAATATAACATGTAGATTCAAAACAGCATATAACAATGATAAGGTGAGCAACTCACAGTTAATACAGATTATTGGGCAACTTTTAAAATACATGGACAATAAATATTGATGTCAATCACTGAGACAGGGAATTCCTCCTCTGTATAAGTATAGTTGCTAAAATTCCTCTATTCTAAATTGTTATGGAGTTAATTATTCAAATATTCAGCATTTATTCCTATTAAGACCTTCAAAATGGTATGTTCTAAGCAAGCAACTGCTAAAAATCATTATGTCATTGTCAGAGATTTCTCAGAGCCTAGGATTAGTATAAGGACTACTATAGTGAATTTAAGAAAAATTCTAAGCCCATCTTCTGAATTAGTTCACTAGTGAATCTCAGATGTTCTCCAGAATACTAATAGTAAATATCTACTTTTTAATCACTTTTGAAGCAAAAGAAATATGCAAATAGATGCAAAAAGGAATTTAGTGAATTTCACAGATTTTTCAACATTGCCATTAAGTTGAATAGAACTCAATCATTCTAATTTCTTTTTTTTTTCCTTTTTGTCTTTTTTCATGACCGGTAATGGGATCGCAACCCTCAGTGTCGCGCCCGTACCGCAACCGGCAACAGGATCGCAACCCTCGGTGTCGCGCCCGCACCACGCTCAACCAGTGAGCGGACCGGTCTCTATATGAGATCCGAACCAGCCGGCCCATTCTAATTTCTTAAGAAACATTAAAAACTACCTGAGCTACAAGCAATAACATTTTCCATTTTAAAATCATACAATTATACCAAATTAGTCAAAAACACATCACACAATTAGATAAGCTACAGACCCAAAAGGGGAGTACTAGTAAATGAGTAAGTGGGTGGACTGACAAATGGCATGGATTCTTAAACTTGGACTAGTATGTCTAAAGTTACATGATTTCTTTAAAAATCTTAAGACTTAGAATATTCTGATGTCTATGTTTCTAATGACATTATTTTAACCAAAAAGGAAAAAAAATTAAAAAGTGTTATATGGGTAAATAAGTTTTCTTCATAAAAAATTTGCCCTTCAATGTGTTCTCCAAAAAAGACTGCAACACAGATGCCAATGAAACCAACACAGGCCAATTAAAATTTTGATACGTGTAGTTTTATCAAATGCACCCTACCGAGTAGCCTACAAATTACAAGACTCAGAATCGTATGTTCTCTTACCGTCCAAGAAAACATTGCCAAAGAGGACGATTTTGTGTTGCCAAATCAGAATCTTTAGAGCCAAACAATTTAGCTAGAAGTCGAACAACAGCTAATCGCTCTTCTCCATCATTGCTCTTAGAAGAGAAAAAGAAAATAAATTAAGCCTAAGTTTTATTTATCATATTACAGAAAATAACATGAGACACTCCCAGGAAGATATAATTTCATATTTCTGCTTATAATAATGAGAACTTAAAAAAAATCGTATGTTCTCATTTACTACGCAGAAATTGATTTGATTCTATGTTAGATCATCTGATTTTTGCTCTTATTTCACACCTTCCTAATAGCTAATATATGCCTACTTCACTGCGTATTTGCAATCTACACAGAGGTAATAAACAGAGGTGATAAACCGTTTATAAATAAGAAGATATATCATTCAATTCTAACATAATTTAAGAGACTTAGAAAAAATTCTATGAAAGACAAAGCTGCAAATAATTCCCACCCTAATAATTAGGAAGAAATCTATCCTGTAATTTAAGCTCCAACATAAACACACGTCAATTAAGGTTTTGATATACAAAATTTTAATCAAGAATCCTCTACTGACTGGGAAACATGACACTGAAGAATGTCATGATTCAGGGAAACTCATTTTAACAACAAAGCAAGAATCTTAGGATCTAAAAGGTCAGGTGAACTGAACATTATAAAAAGGCAAAACTTAGTTGTTTTTTGTTAAGGGCCTCCTATTTTTTTATCCTGAAACCAATAGATGCTATGAAAATTCTGTTCCAGTTTCGCTAGTGATGCTGTGTTTTAATATAAATTATTTGAAACCATATGGTATGTGAAACTTCTTTTTAAAAATCACAAAGTCATTAGGACAACAAATGCAATACCTAAAAGCAACTGCTAATTTATTTAGGTTTCAAATACAATGTATGTTTAAAGCAATACCAGAGAGCCAATAAACAAATATTTGTGGAAAAGACAGAAGTTAAAAGAGAAAAATAAAGACCATGGATATAATATTTTCCTTATGAATGTCTTAACTCTCAAGAATAGGGGTTTTGTGAATAAAACAGGTACAGTTATCAAACAAGATATAAAAATGAAAACTATATCAAGCTTTTATACTTATAATTATGAATTACAAAAATGATTTTCTTTGACAAGGTTTTTCTTACACAAAGTGACAACAATGCAAAATAATATCACTTTTCATTTTTTTTTTTTTACAGAGATATGAACTCTTGACCTTGGTGTTATCAGCACCACGCTTTAACCAAGTGGGCTAACCAGCCAACCCTCTCCTTTTAATAAGTCCAATTTACTAGCTAACATGATTTATTGATTACAGAGATATGAACTCTTGACCTTGGTGTTATCAGCACCACGCTTTAACCAAGTGGACTAACCAGCCAACCCTCTCCTTTTAATAAGTCCAATTTACTAGCTAACATGATTTATTGATTGATTCACTGATTGAATGACCGGTAAGGGGATCGCAACCCTCCGCACGGTATGGTCCGCACCACGCTCAGCCAGCGAGCGCACTGGCTGTCCCTATATAGGATCTGAACCAATGGGCCTCAGCGCTACCAGCACTGCACTCTCCCGAGTGAGCCACAGGGCCGGCCCAAACATGACTTATTTTTTAAAGAAAAATTAATCTATTCCTTAAATCTCAAACACCAGAATAAGTGGAGATTTTATTCTATTTACAAGTGACTATTTTAGTATATCACTAATTATTTCAAATGATGTGACATTTCACATCTATAAACTACTGAAATAAAACTAAGTGAAAACTCACCCTGCTGCCTTTTTGAAATTTAAAATATATTCCATGAGTGAAATTGGAATGATTATAGTGATAGTAAATTCTTTTGGTGCAAAAATCATTTGGTGTCTCTGATGCACAGTTGTATTATTAATCCATGCCAAAGTGAACATTATTTCATGAAGATATTACATAATACACTGTTTGAATCACATATACAAATACATATTTTAATAATTAAGAGAGAGTAAAAATGAGAAATTCTGCATTAACAATTTACCAATGACTTTCTAAAAGAAATTCAATAAAGCCACCCTAGTTTTTATTTCTGTGCAATCCTAGTCAGAAAAGGTAACTAACTATACTATTGTTTCAAATTACAAAATAACTGACAACAATTTTCTGTGAAAATATAATTTTTACCCCAACTAAAATGAGACAAATGACTGTTCTATATATTTTTAAACATGAGAATAAGTATAAATCCCTCTCTGCCATTAAAAAAAAAAAAAAACCTAAATGAAAATGTGGCAAACTTCCTGATAATAATAGCCAAGGCTGCTAAGTAACACAACTCCAGGGTGTCCCTTAAATATATGAAAATAGTACCCTAATTATATATAATACCTAAACTAATCTAAATCTCAGTTTCTTCATTTGGAGAAAGAAAACTAATATAGGTTCTAATAATAAAACTAACCCTAGCAATAAGAAACAAATAAGAACATGGCACCTGTTGTAGTACAATAAACAAAATATTCCATTACTATTATTTAGATACACTATTAATTAGTTCAGTACAAAGTTTTAAAAAGCCTCAATTTGTCTAAGAATATAGAAAAACATAAACTTCAATGGCCTTTTGTTAGATACATCATCTTAAAAGAGACCTCACAGTCATAAACAGCATAACTACGGTGTTAAATATTTTTCTAAAAAGTCATTTAGAAATCTTCGAAAAAAATTCATGTTCATGTAGCTTCAGACCATGGTTATGAAATCAAATTGTATCAATGAAGAAGAGTAGGTAAAAAATAAAGAAGTAATTGGGACTGGGATAAATTGAAAAACTAGCCATTTTGTTGTCATTTAAGAAATAAGGGTCCAATGTTGCTGGACTTTTTCTGTTTTTCTTACAAAAGAAAACACATACATATGGACTTTTAAACAAAATTTCCTGATTTTTTAATTTATTTATCCATTCACTGTTAGCAACTAAAAGTAGCATGAAATCTTTAAATTATACTTAAGAAAATCTATTTTGGGGCTGCATTCAGCTTATTAGCAAACGCTCCTTTAGATTAATGAACCTAAGAAAGAATGAGGGCATAAATAACCACTACAGCTTAGCTTCCCTCAGTTTACATGAAGTCCACAAATGGAAATCTGAAAGTTCAGTTCCCAATCCCTTCCTACATCCTATCATGGCAGTTTTGCTTAAGGGTTAAAGAGGCTTGACATTACATATTCAGACTATGAACAGATTGGAAGAAAATATTTTAATGCCTTACACCTAGAAATTATTTAGTATGGAAATATCTTTAGGCTCCTGCTAATATAAACTCATTAATAGTAAGAGAAAAATATCCTATATAACATTTTCCTCACAACCAGAGTTTCTAATAAGAAACTTATGGGGCCGGCCCGGTGGCGCACTGGATAAGTGCGCCGCTTGGGAAGCGCGGCGGCGCTCCCACCCGAGGGTTCGGATCCCACATGCAGACTGGTTCCCGCTCACTGGCTGAGCGAGGTGCGGGAGCAACACCGAGGGTTGCGATCCTGTTGCCGGTCCCCGGTCCGGTACGGGGGCAACACTGAGGGTTGTGATCCGTTGCCGGACACGGAAAAAGATATAAAAAAAAAGACAAAAAAAAAAAAAAAAAAAGAAACTTATTAGTATGATGTCCTTTATACTATAAATAGCAAATACCTATAATAAAGAAACTATTGATAATTCTTAATTATACATAAAAATTGTAAAGTCTGAAAATCTGAATTCTAATCCCAAATCTGCTTTAACTGTGTAACTGGGCAAAATATTACATCTTGAGTTTTTCTTCTCAAAGAAATCAAAATTGTAATGTTACATACTTAGTTTGAATTAAGGATCAAATAAGATATTGTATACAAAAAGTCTCTCAAAAAGTACAGAATATTAGGTAAATATAAGATGTTATCTTCTGTACTTTGCTAGGATAGTGGATTGAGTGTCAGGTTTTTCATATTTTTTCAGGAACTATGAATTTGTTACTTAGTTGGCTAAAAAGATACAATTCCAAGTTATACATTAAAATTTCTGTCCTGGATCTGTACCATGAAAGGGTCAGAAAGTTGTAATCGAGACCCTTTGATGAATTTTACATCTTTTGATATTCTAAAACATAACTTTTGGTAATGAATACCATTTAATACCAACATGTATTATAAATTTCTAGGATAATACCATTTTTCACACCTATTACTTGTGTCACTGTGTTTATACCAGTAGATATTTAACAACTAGGTATGTTACAATTTCGCAATGTAAATTCTTTTTTCACCCAGAAGAGAGGTAACTTGTTTTATTCAAATGATCCAAAAATGTATACCTCAACTAAATAAGAAGAAAATAAACGCACATTTTATTCTTTTACTTAGAGAAAAACTATGTAATGTACATTTTTCCTTTAAAGTTTAAAGGGCTGAAAAACTGTTCAATCCTACCTTCAGTTTGAATTCAAGCTGTGGCATGACAGATAATAATAAATGAGGATCTATAGCAAAAAGTTCCTGAATCAGATCAAATACATGTTCTGACAAATCGCTTACTGATGATCTTCCCAGCACCAGGACTTGATTGAAAAACTATAGGAGATATTAAAAACAAAAACAAAATATCCATTTCATTTGAACAGTTGAATTTTCTATAAACATGTGTTAAAAATACATATTAAATTTTCTATGAACATGTGTTAAAAAATATAACATATATAATCAGGCATTACATATACAACTGAAGGGGGTTTGAATTACTAATATATGACAGGACAGTCATCCAAACAGCAGAAAAAAATAAGCCTTCAAATAATGAATGCTACAGGGAAAAAAATGAAAAAAGAATTGGGTTGCTGGCTGTGTTTCAAATAAGGGTGACATTTCTAGGAATTTTAATTTTCATCAAAAGAAAACACTTTAGATGGTTTGTGTAGTTTATTACAGAGACCTTGACATAGTAATTTCCTTGTAGCAGAGAAAAATGTTAAAGTCTTAATCTTAATGTTACTTAAAAATTAATCTGATTAATTTTTCCATGAGCTTAGTATTAGACTATTTAAAGATGGAGGATGAATTTTTTTGGTTTAGTTCGTTTTTTTTAATTCCCAGAGAAAGTCAAATACATTTTGACTCAGAGGCAAAAAGACAGAAAAGCTGATGATACAAAAAAGATAACTGATAATTGAAAAGAATGCTGAGGGCCGGCCCGTGGCTCACTCGGGAGAGTGCAGTGCTGATAATGCCAAGGCCACAGGTTTGGATCCCTATATAGGGATGGCCGGTTAGCTCACTGGGTGAGCGTGGTGCTGACAACACCAAGTCAAGGGTTAAGATCCCCTTACCGGTCATCTTTAAGAAAAAAAAAAGAATGCTGAAGAGTATATAGTACCAAGAGCACAAATTAAAAAATACCATCACTGCCCTTCCCCCGTACACATTTAGAAGACAGTATTAAATTTAATAATGCTAAAGAGGCAGTTGTATGCAATGATACAAGCATACGTTTCTGTCATGTCTAAATACATAATATTTAATTAAATATTTAAATGATAAAATTATATATTTATAATAAAATAAATGATATATTTCTTTGGAAAAGCAACATAAATTAAGAATTTGAAAATATTCAACCTTGGAAAGAATGTGGATGATAGTTTTAACAAAACACACACACACATGTGCACCCATAAATAAGCATAGAACACTATTTCTGGAAGGATATATGAAAACCTATTAGTGACGGTTATTTCTGAGACTTGACCATAGAGTGTTTATTCAAGGTTGAAGAGAGACACTTTTCATTATACTCTTGCACTATTTGAAATTTTTTTTTTACTTTTTAAAATATTAATTTAGTAATAATACTAATATAATACCATTTAAATTAATAAATCTTAATTTGCGTTTTAATCTGTGGAAAATAATTCAATGATAGATAAATGCTACATTCACAAAGATGATTAATAAAGAAAAACACTGAAAAAAACCTAAACGTAAAGCAATAGAGAAATGGGGATATATCAGTTGAAAGAAACATTTATAGTCATCCATATTATACATAGAAAAATAATGCCAAAATATGGGAATATATATATATGAAGATGATACAAATATTTACATAGAGTATGTGAAAAAATAGGTATGAAAGTGAGCAAATATGCAACAAAATTAATTGCTATATTAAGGTAGGGGAGTTACAAATATTTCCTCTTTTCAAAATAATTGATTTATTGGTTAAAAAAATAAGAACAGAACTAACTTCTATTCAATAAAAATTTTTTTTAAAAGTATTTTATTACTATATAACTACTATTCAAGATAGAAAATGAGAAGGGTTTCAGGAGGATGACCTAGAAGACATAAAAAGGAAAGTAGACACATAAAAAGACACAGAGACCCAAAGATACAGATGGAGGGAGAAAGTGAAAGATAACATATCTGGGAGATAAAATAAACATAAATACAAATGCAGACGATGGGGTGGGAGCTATAGACAAGTTTCCATAAAGTAACATCCATCATTTGTGCCATTTTGTCAATAAAGTTTATGAAGTTAAGTTGAATTTCCCTAACTTTGGTCACATTCTTTTATATTTACTTTGAATAGATGAAATTGTTTATAGGATAAATAAACCACTATGTGAGAGGTTCTAGTAAATTAGTACAATGGGATGAGAATTACACAATTATGAAATAAATATAGACAAAAATACATACATTGGCAATGCATGCCTCAATAGTCTGGACTGTCCTTTTCAATAGAACTTTTGCAAGGTCGAAGGACTGTTTATTTAAGTTCTGAAAAACAATAAAAGATGCCAAATTACAAATGAATTAGTGAATTTATGAGATTGCACCATTAGAACACTGTAGTCCTCAAATCTACTAACAGATGACGCAAAAAATATAACTGAATTTCATTCAAGATTTTTTTTTTTATTGGACCGGTAAGGGGATCGCAACCCTTGGCAAGGTGTTGTCTGCAGTACGCTCAGCCAGTGAGCGAACTGGCCATCCCTATATAGGATCCGAACTTGTGGCCTTGGCGCTACCAGCGCCGCACTCTCCCGAGTGAGCCATGGGGCTGGCCCTTCCATTTAAGATTTTACCCAATATCCTCTAATCAAGTGGTCTTAAATGCAGAAGTTGCAAATTGAACTCAGTTATGAATAAAAAAAACTAAAATGCATTAGACAGCCAAAAGCACAATCCTATATTAATTTTTACTAAACTGAAAACGGACCTAAAGCTTTTTGGTTTTGTTTATTGACCAATGTGAACTGGAAACTATACCCAGCCATGTAAACAAACATACAAACACATCCTTATCTAACCCACCATGCTCAGTATTTCACTGTTTAATCAATGTACGTTTTGGAAAAGAGTAGATCTGAAAAGTATTCTACATTAAAAGAGTTCTTCATCAACCATATTTTTGAAATGCTGAATACTAGGCTCCCTCTTCAAGAATCCTAACACATGGTAACAAATTAAAGGATCTGAGAAAGACTGTAGAGAAGACACATTTAATTTTCTAAAACTTATTGAAAAAGGAATTATTGTTTTGAAGAATACCTATGAACATCTTTATACTTTGATGTTGTGGACCAGATTGAGATATATTCACCATCATCTTACAACTCTCCCCCAAAGAGGGTAGGAAACCCTATACTGTAGGCCAATGGTCAGCAAACTTTATGTAGAGGGCCCTATGGTAAATATATTAGGTTCTATGGGTCCTACAGTCACTACTGCAACCACACAACTCTGCTGTTGTAACATGAAAGCAGCCATAAACAAAACGAAAGTGAATGAGCGTGGCTGTGTTCCAATGAAACTTTACTTACAAAAATAAGCAATAGTTAGATTTGATCTACAAGCTGTAGCTCCTGACCTGTGTCTAGACTTTTAGTCCATTGGCAAAAGGATAGATTAGCTTAAAGTTAACATTTCTATTTCTTAAAAGGATATATTTCCCACTCACAAAAATACTATCTAGCTAGAATATAAATACCAAACATGCTGTCTATTCCTCTCAAAGTTTTCCTCTTATTCTGCCTGTGATCTATTCCCCTTAGCCATACTCTCAAAATTTTTATCAGCTATAGATTCATTTGAATTAAAGGGATGCAAATAATATTTAGAGTCAAGATAATAATTTAAAATTAAACACAACTTTTTGTGAATAAGTGTAATTAGACACACTGTTCATCTAACATCTAATGATAGGTTACTGAACCATTAGAGGAAAAGAGCAGGAGGGCAAATATCAACATTGGGGTAGGCTTGAGTAGAGCCCAGTGATGGATCCTGTGGGGAGCCAAGTCCTTCAGTTTCTTAGGAGGACCTGGTGGAGAGAATAGAAAAAGGAAACGGGAGGAATGATACAGCTCTGAATCATCCTTTTCCCCTTAACACTAACCATATAGTTCCCGCTTCTGCCCAAATCTTTTTCAGAAAGTGTGTAAGGAAAAGGTACAATATGGGTTCTGAAAAGAAATACAAACTCCTATATTCCACATCTATGTTACAAAGGAAAAAATACACTTCTTTTCCAAACAAAACCAACAAAAAAGACAACATCCTAACCCCTTTTAATTCCCACATTAATTTTGAGTGGTGAATACAAAACATTTGTCGTTTCCAAAACACAGTTGGCACTTAACTGAATGAAAATCTTACACAGTATGTTAATCAATACATCTCGTAAAAATAACAGCTACAAGACTGATATGTGTTCCTCTATTTTATTTGGGGCTTGAGAGTGTAGCAGGATCAATTATATGGGATTGCAAATGGTCATAAAACAATTATTCATTCTATGTGTAGCACTACCTTTAAATATTAACCTTTAATGTCTTCATACTTTACAGACCTTATGTGCAGGAATGAGGTTAATAAGAATGGAGTCCAATAATTCTTGAGTAACTCCATCACCTTCCATGATGATAGAACTCATCAAGTCTAGCATGTGCATTTGTACCTTCTTATTGTGGCTATTGCTAAAAAAAAAAGAAGAAGAAAAGAAAAAAATTCAGCAGGCATACAAAAAGAAAATTAAAGCTCCCAGTTTAAAACAATACCATATGTAAAACAATTCTCACTTGAGGAAACTGTAACAGTGGCAAACAAATTACGGCTGTTCTATTTACTTTCTCCTTCTGTTAACTATTACAGCAGCTGTAAGGTACTGTTGTAAAGTATTTTACAAAAACAAAGACCACCCTAATTTCTAATAAAGTACATTCTCTTTAATTCACATGGAGGAAAAAAAAGACCTTTAAAATGAATTCAATCTCTTCATTAATAGGATTCCAAGAGTGAGTTAAATAAATTCAGCCTAACAAAAATGTCAACTTTAAAGAAAGGACGCTTTTGTTTACCTGTGCCAGATTTTAAAAGGTGATAAAATTTTAAGCACGGGAACAAAAAAAAAAAGTGTGAGATAATGAAAGCAGACAGTTTTTCAACCTTATCCCCCCCCCCGCACAGATCTTAATAAATTCCTCAAAATAAAGTGAAAAATATTTAAACTCCCAAAAAAGCCTAAGCCAACACAAGTAATTCTTCCTATATCTTTACCACTAGAGATATTTTAATTCACCAATGCTGAAAATCAAAAGTTTGATCTAAGATGCTTACTAGAACTTATAACTGGAAGGTTCTGAAAATGTCATCCTGGTATATCTCAATGAATTTCTAACAGACAAATGAGAAATCTGTAAGTTATAAAAAGTAAGGCCAAGTATCAATTTTAGTCCTGCTTTCTTAGCCAGTGCAGAGTCAACTGCAGGCCTCCTTGATATTATCTTAAAAGACTAGCTACCAAACAGTTATACAACTGGTAGAATATCTAGGCTTTGTTCCTTCTGACTGCATCTTAACTAAAGGTGTGACCTGTCCATTTTCACATTTATCAGAATATACATGCAAAGACAAAACTATGATTTATAGTTATTCTTTTTTTTTTTGGCGGGAGCGTCACTGCACTCCTAGCGCCGCACTCTCCCGAGTGCGCCACGGGGTTGGCCCTATAGTTATTCTATTATAAATACAAAGGGAAGTTTAAACTAAGACTAAAGTAAAATTTAATATCATTTGTGTATCTCTCACCTCTAACTTTAAAAAAATTAACTTGAAATAATGAATAATAGAACTGGTAGGTATTTAGTAGTAAAGCACAAAGATAAAAATTAAAAAGTTGGTAAAAAAAAAAAAAAAATTGTCACATCGCTAGACACAGTTTCTACAACTTTTAGAAAGCCATCCCTTTTGCATGCCCTCTCCCAAATATCTTGTTTACTTTACCAAAGGCCAGGATTATTAGTTCTATATGTGTGTGTGGGCAGGGGGGATGGGTAGTGAGTGGGTAGGAGAAAAACAGATATTTTCAGCCTGATGCAAAAACAAAACAAAACAAAAAAAACCACACCAAAATCCTGAGAATTTGGCTCAGATCCATATTTACTTGAATGTAGGAAAGGAGCGGGCAGAAGTCAGACAAAAAGAGACAAAAATTATTTCCCCAAATTCCACCAATCTAAATCAATAAGCTCAAAATTTTCACTTCCTGACAAGATACAATAACAAGAACAAGATTTACCCTCATACCTGAAACAACTAAAAAGCCAGACAAAAATATATGAAACAATAGTTTTCAGATATTGCACATCATGCACATATTTCTGAGGGGGAGAAAACAAATGAGGTGGACCCTACAATTTTCCCAGCCTACCGCCTGATAAGTTTCCAGGCTGTCATACAGGAAGGGATACCCTGGCAGAGCCTAATAGTTCCTCAGAGTCTAAGGAGACTAGAGTTTGCAGGGCAGAATACCAGAGGGAATAGAGCTGCTTAAAGAGCAAGCTTGCAGACCCTTGTGTACTTAGTGATCAGCAAACACATGTGAGAAAATTCCCTGACTATGGGAAAAGAACCACTTGAAAGGAGCAGAGGGAATAATCTCTGGAACTCACAAGAGCATTTGGTTAAGTAATCAGAAGGGTACAAAGTGATAAAAGCTCAATGGGCCCTAAGCACAAGAAAACCCCACCATTATGATCCGATACACCATAATCAAACTGCCTAAAACAAATAATAAAGAGAAAATCTTAAAAAGCAGCTAGAAGAAAAAAAGATACATCATCTACAGAGGAACAAAGATTAAAAGTGACAAAAATATCTCAGAAACAATGCAAGCAAGAAAAAGATGGAACAACATCTTTAAAAGTACTGAAAGGAGATGGGGGGAAAAGCCTATCAACCCATAACTCTGTATCCTGTGAAAATAACTTTCAAAATTGAAAGTGAAATAAAGACACCCCAAAGTGAGAAGAATTCCATTACCAGCAGACCTGAACTAAAACAAATGTTAAAGGAAGTCCTTCAGACTGAAGGAAAATGACACCAGACAGAACTCTGCGTGAGTACAAAGGAATAAGGAATACCAGATATGGTAAATGTGTCAGCAAATACAAATCAGGCTGGCGGGTTAGCTCAGTTGGTTAGAGCATGGTGTTGATGACACTAAGGTCCAGGGTTTGATCCCTGTTCCAACTGGCCACAAAAATAAATTAATTAATTAAATAAACAAATCAATAAGCTCCTCTTTTTTTTTTTTTTTTTTTTTTTTTTTTTTTTTTTTTCCGTGTCCGGCAACGGATCGCAACCCTCAGTGTTGCCCCCGTACCGGACCAGGGACTGGCAACGGGATTGCAAGCCTCGGTGTTGCTCCCGCGCCTCGCTCAGCCAGTGAGCGGGAGCCGGTCTGTATGTGGGATCCGAACCCTCGGACGGGAGCGCCACCGCACTTCCCAAGCGGCGCACTATCCAGTGCGCCACCGGGCCGGCCCAATAAGCTCCTCTTTTAAAATGGAAGTCTTTTTTAAATTCATATATCACTGTAAATTATTTTAATTAATTAGGTCAACAATAAACTTAGTCTTCATATTCAAGAAATAAAAATATTAACAGGATCAAAGAAAAATTTAAGTAGGGGCCAGCCTGTGGCTCACTTGGGAGAGTGTGGTGCCGATAACACCAAGGCCACGGGTTTGGATCCCTATATAGGGGTGGCCAGTTAGCTCACTTGGGAGAGCGTGGTGCTGAGAACAGCAAGTCAAGGGTTAAGATCCCCTTACCAGTAATCTTATTTTTTAAAAAAAGAAAGAAAAGTGTAAGTAAATATAGGTAATTTTGAGAGGAAAAACATTATAATTGCAGAGTGGTAAGGCAGATTTAAGTGCATAGTTAAGGTCACAAAAGGGGTAAAATGATGACAACTTCAGGACTTTTTAAAAATAAATTTTTTTGGTAACTATCATTTTAAAAGAAACGGCTGCAAAAATGTAGTAGATGCACATAATGACCACAGACCGTTCCCATCTCTATATGCATATCCCTTTACAACGCTGCTCCTCCTTATGAAACATAAGTAAACATGAAGCTATCACGAAGGCTTAAAAAGTGCTTGTACAGTGAGGCTTGCCTTTTTTTGCCACTTTTGAAACCTGGTCAGCATATGAAGAGGTCTGGGCTAGCCTTCTGGATGATGAGAGACACATGACCCAGTTGTCCTAGTACCTCAGCCAACCACCAGATTTTCTGACAACTGACTGCAAACATAGGAGTGAGTCCACCCAGACAGAAACAACTGAGAAGCATAATCACAGGCTAAAAAAATGGTGGTTATTTTAAACTGTCAAGTTTTAGATTGTTTTGTTATGCATAAAAGCTAATACAAAGGTAAGGTTTATAAATTCTACCATTTAATTTATTTCTTTTTTCTCAATTGGCTTTATTGCGATTCTATAATCAGGTAACACTTTATTCCATAAAATGGAATAAGTATTCCCTCTATTATTTACTTTAAGGGCCTACTGATAGTCACATGCCACAGGAACTGTTCTTACATGCAGTCTTTCTGTAAGTTTCTATATCTAGACCAAGCTGGTCTGGTTCTTTCCTGTTTATTTCAAGTTAACATCTAATCCTACCATTCTAAGGAAAAGGAAAACATGATATAGTATTCATAAAAACCTACAGAAAACTCTACAAATATGCTGTCTAATATGCAAGCCATTCATCACCTGGCTATTGAACATGTGAGATATGGATAGAGCCACATGTTGAAATGATCACACTTTTGGATATAGTGAGATAAATGAAATACATTATTAGAAGGAATTTCACCTGTTTCTTTTTACTCTTCCTAATGTGGCTACTAGAAAATTTAAAATTTATGTGAGATATGTCTGTATATAATGTAATGCTCTAGAACACATCTCACAGTAATGCTGGGTTTACTATGCAAAAAATAAACCAAAAAACTGAACTGAAATCAGAGTTTGGGCCTTTCTGTCCAGCAATTTGTCCTTGGGCAAGCCACCACACTCCATCTCTCTGCATTAGTTTCCCTATTTCTATAAAGAAAGCTGATTTAGGTAATGTTTACGAATTTTTTTCTGGCTTTAAAATGAGAAGATACCAAAGTCAGTGTGCTTAACGACTGAGCTATTATGTCTCCAAGCACTAATGGTACATTTAATACTCATCATTTCTATGTCATAATTTAGTACTTCATTGTATAAGGTACTATACTATTTGCTTTACAATTATATGTTGTTGCCTCTATCGGATAATAAATTTCTTCAAAACAAGAGCTTTGCTTTATACTTCTCTACTGTCCCCATAGTCCTGTGACTGGGGCACTGAGAGTCAATCAATAAACTGATACCATAATTAAAAATGGTAGTATAACGGCAAAGGCAGCTTTCAGATGGCAGAATTTTTGTTTGTTTTCCTCTTCATGTGAAGTCTTCTAAGGAATACAATTCCTTATAACTCTAAAATACTTTGTGTATGTGTAGAGTACATAACACTTCAATATACACAGCAAGAAAACGAGACAAACAGAAATGCTTAAAAAATAACTTACTTGATCACCGAGAAGAGAGTCCTAAAAAGTTGAATAAAAATTTCATTGCAATCTTCCAATTCAAAGCAGATGTTATATGATTTAACCCAAGCTAAATTCTTAAATAAATAAATAAAAATAATTATTTAATTACACATATACAGAATAGTTCCACGCAAAACTCAGCAAAATTTAATTTTTAGTATCAGAAATCTGTATTCCAGCCTATAAAGATCCAACATATAAAACTACAAGTATTACATTTGTCATGTTCTCTGACCTTTAAAAAGACATATATACCCGATAGCATCAATTTTCCCAAATTGAAAAATACTAAATATTCAGAGGTTGGTAGACATATATACACAGAAAATTAAGGAGCAGTGAAATTAATTCATTTTTAGATAAGAAAAAATTGAAAATAAAATGAAAATAAAAGCTATAGTTTCAAATAACCTACTTTTTTTGGTGGAATATACTTAATCTTTTCAGAATATAAGGAAGAATAAAAAGACTAGATTTTCCTTATGAAAGGTAAAGGACATTTTCCTTTTATATATTTTATATATTTTTTACATATTTTAATAAGTGAGCTTTGTATAAAACAAAAAAAAGACTCATTTTTACATTACAAAGTTACTATAAGGAATATGCTACCATGTGAAATAATGTGATATTTATTAAAGTTATTTTTTTTTACCTCTAATAAATAAAAGTATCTATTAAACTGCGGACTCTTTGTATCCTCCAAACCTTTTAATTGTCTGGTAATAAACAAAAATATGTCCTGTTAAAAAAAAAAAAATTAATTTAGACACAAATACTTTTCTTTCATAATACTCTAAGAGTTTATACATATATATAAACTGTTACAAACTACAATAGAAAAATTCTCCTTTAGTTGAATGCCTTGGGACTGGCCTAGTCCATTATTCAAAATAATTGGAAAAGATCAAATCATATAAAAGTATACCCTCCAGAAGCAAAAATAAAGATTGTTACTTCCATAATTCTTTAAAGCTTTCTCATTCTAGAAGAATCACAGGTTCTATATCTTATCACCATTTCTTCCACTTTAGTGTTTCCATTTCACTTACTATCTTCACCTTGTATCATGGCAAACAACTATCTTCATTTTCAGGACCTGGATATGAGTCTTTCCACTACTATTTCCTACATGTAAGTAGTAATTTTCAACACCTAGTTTTGAATTTGACGTGTGACTATAAAGTTGTGGGGAACAAACGCAGACTGATCCAAGGGTTGTACTTTTCATGATGATAGTGCTCCATTTCTTAATAAGCTTTCTTTAGAAGTTCTTGATATGGTAAAAAATGATTTTTGACTATTTTAAAGAAAGCAGTGCAAAGCATTAAAATTTGTCAATAATAAAATTATACAATATATGAAATCAGCTCAAGAGATCAATTTAAAATAAGAGTTCCTCAAACATTTTTAACAAAGGCAGAACCACCAAGATGACCATATAGTTTTGCATATAACTGGTAGGGGAAATAGTCATTTGAATGTGTAAATTCTGGTATACTATTGTTTTAAAAAGTATCATCAATCCACTATCTATCCTTTGAACATAACCATCTGGGCTTTGTGAAAAATTAGCCAGAAGGTTAGATATGAGCAGACGGGCTAGTTTTAAACCACACTTCTCAATAATTCAAAAATATACCAGTCATTTTCGCAGATAATAAATATTAACTGAATAATTAGTATTGCAACTTATGATATAATCTTAAGATGATAAGAATAATATAAAATCTATGTTCATACAGGTAAACAATAAGAATAAAATGATTTTGTAAAGAATATATTTACCTTAAGTTTGTCATGGGAAGTATATGGAGCTTCTGGGGCATAGATTCGGAAGATGTCAGCCAAACAACATGCTACAAGGAGACGCACATCTTTATTGGGGTTCCTGAGGAAGAATTCAGATGCAAGATGCAAGGCTAAAGGGAGATACTGCTGTTTTTCATCTTCTGAGTCCTGATCCATATCCATAAAAGTTTTTACTACCATCTGTAAAAATGTATTTAGAAATCAGTGGAAAATGTATTTTTTTTTAAAAATCATCTCTGTTACAACACCAACTAGTAATCAGTTACTATTAGAAGGTTCACAATCAAATTTTTATAAATCTTACTTTAAAAATTTGGGAAATGGGCCGGCCTGTGGCTCACTCGGGAGAGTGCGGTGCTGATAACACCAAGGCCACGGGTTTGGATCCCATATAGGGATGGCCGGTTAGCTCACTGGCTGAGCCTGGTGCTGACAACACCAAGTCAAGGGTTAAGATCCCCTTAACCGGTCATCTTAAAAAAAAAAAAAAAAAAAAAAAAATGGGAAAAGATTACACATGAAATGGCTAGTCTAAAAGAAATTTATAAACAAATATCAACTTTTGGATTACTCATAGACACATTACCTGCCTCAGTGCCAGATTTATGAAGAACTTAAGACTCTCAACATTATACAATGCAATCGATTTTCATTTCCCTTTCCCAATTCCTCCCTTTTCTCATTATTCATTTTATATGTAGCCCACGTAAAAAGTTCCTGGCTCCATAAGCACAACCGAATTAATTTAGTATTTGACAGCATCACTGATTATGCTTCTTTTCTATTATCAAAGCTGCCTTGTTTAGGCTCTCCTTAAACTGCTATTTCATTTCACACTTTAGGGGCTGTCTGGTTAGCTCAATTGGTTAGAGCACTGAAATGTAACACCAAGGTCAAGGGTTCAGATCATCATACTGGCCAGCTGTCAAAAGAAAAGGAAAAAAAAGAAAAGAAAAGAAAGTTTAAAAAAAAAAAAAGTTCATTTCACACTTTAACGGATTTTGCTCTTCACAAAAGAAAGCCACATTTAAATATTTTTTATATAGTCGTACTTCAGATGAAAAGCTTTAATTATAAATAAACCCTGCTGTTATTTATGGTTATTAAATTAACAAATTTGAATTTTAGAATCACTATAAAATGCAAAGAAGTATACTTTTAAAAATCTATAATTTCTGGGCTGGCCCGGTGGCGCACTGCTACAGTGCGCCGCTTGGGAAGCGCGGCAGCGCTCCCGACGAGGGTTCGGATCCCACATGCAGACCGGCCGCTCACTGGCTGAGCGAGGGGCGGGGGCAACGCCGAGGGTTGTGATCCCATTGCCGGTCCCGGTCCGGTACAGGCGCAACACTGAG